CATCGTATTTGGCGAAGAAAGACATGGGCCTGCTCGCTTGCTTCTTGCTCGGGTTTGGAGGAGGTTCAATGTTCCCAGCACTGAACACAAGAGATGCGGTAGTCAACCGACAAGCTAGCATGTTAACGGCTGATATATCGCCGGTGCTGTTGTACTCATCCCAAGTGTTGGCCGTGTGAAGGATACAACAACCGTCTGTCTCGAACCAACGTACTAATTCCGGGTGTCGCCGGGGAAAGACACCGAATCTGGCGGGTTTCTCGGGTTGGTAAAAGACAATGGGCTTGTTCATTGTCAAGTTCAATGGGGTCAGGGAGAGCGGTAGGTCGAGTATGATAGTATTGTGTCGTGACACACCGAAATCGTGCATGAGCTTGCCGCCAGAGCACCCGGGTACTGGCGCGTTGATTAATCTGCTTCCCTCTGAACCTGATCTCTTTGCAACAGAGCCTTCTGCTGGAAGTAGGGAATAGTGAACGTAGGGCGCGACGAAGTTGCAATGGAACAGAACCATCTCGTTCGTGACCTTGTCGACCTTGGGATGACCCGTTGTCCACTCTTTCATCCAGCTCAGTACACCAGTTCCACCAAGAGCTTCAGGCTGTTTCTCGTCGTTCTTGTCCTTGTCGCCGGGTGTGGCCTCGCCTTCAGCCCGGTTACCGTCGAACCAGCCGACGGTTTCCAGGCTTGGCAACGCAATGCGCATTGGCGGCCCGCTCTCACATGTCGCCAACGCACGTCCATCGTGGTATAGTATGCTGGTGTTGGCGACGCTGATGCGCTTGATAGCGCGTGCAGAGCCTGAGAGATGGGTCCAGAATACGACCAGTACAGTACGTAGGATGCGCCAGAGGATAAGCAACAAGCTGGAAGCAGGGTTGACAAGGGTCGCGATGCTAGGTAGGATAGGCGTGCGTAGAGTCGGATTCTCAACGGCGGTGCGGTACACGTCGGTGGTGATGAATTGGTTGACGAACTTGACAGCGGGCTTGGTAGGGTCGGCGACAGAGCGACTGAACCAGACTCCAGCGAGCATGCCGTCGCCGTCGAACCAATGCGCTTCACGTCCCAAGTCGGAATTGGTCACGGGATTGCCGCCGTTGCGGACGTACATGCCGCCCAGCAGCTCTGGTGGAATGCGGCCGGTCCATGAGACAGGCGTAGGAGGACATGTTGTAGAGACGGGCGCGAAGTTGCCAGAGAGATATCTGGAGTGGGTTAGTCAGGGCCGTGTAGGGCAATGAGCAGGAAGGCGTACGGGTGTTTAGGCGTCGACTTGCTGCTGTTCGGTCCAGGCGTGGACATTACGGCGGTATTATTAGCTTGGCGGCATTGGAGAACGGTTTGGTTCAGGACAACGGCGCAGGCAATCCATTAGTACAGCGCGTGCAGTCTTCACGTGTCGCCGCGGCCGTGGGGAGACAGGGCACGGAGGCAGGATCAGGAGCTGGTGACATGATATGATGCAACAATGGCAGGGCTGCCCGCTTCCACGGGTATCCGGTTGACATGTGCTCCACGGCCTTGGTCGTGATGGCGGCCGGGCAATCGTGATGTCATGTCGAGGCTTGCATTACCGCTAGGCCGCTTGGGGCAGCGCGCATCCTTCACAGCCGCCCGAGCAGCGCCGTCTCAACCATGTTGCAAATATTCTCCATCATGGCCTCTCTTGCGCATTATCTTGTGCCTGACGCCCGCCGCGGCCTAGTCTCTCCCCCTGCCGCATTGGCTCCATGAGTGACGCCGATTGCACATCTCTCCGGCTACTCCCTTCTGCTCCCACGGTGCCATCATGGGCTTCGACTACGCGCTCGTGTACGTGACGCGCCTCCTACGTTACTCCAACATGGCTGACAGTGACGGCTAGTCATCTCAAGTACACGATCCCTCCGGCCGTGTTGCTCACCTGGCTATACCGCCCTTTCTTTACTAAACTCGACGTGTACAAGGTCGTCTATCTGATAGTGGTTGGTACGCGCATCCTCGTCAACATACTTCGTGCTAACACATCAGGTTGCCGTTGGCTCGACTATACCATGGGATTCCTACCTTATCCGCACCGGCATCTGGAGCTACCCCGCCCATGTCATTATTGGCCCAAAGCTGCTTGACATCCCGCTGGAAGAGGTCTTCTTCTTTGTCGTGCAGACATACAATACATCAGTCTTGTACCTTCTCCTCAGTCGGCCCACCTTTCAGCCTGTCTATCTAAGTCCGGAACGTGGCGCGTCCAACACCCGATGGGCATACACGAAACGTATTGGCCAGGTCTTCTTTCTGGGTGTCATCGCCTGGGGATGGCGTTGCATCAAGGATGACAGCATGGGCACATATACTGGACTCATTCTAATATGGGCCGGCCCCTTCCTGCTGCTGCTCTGGTAAGCCAACCGCTATTGCATCCCGGATTCCTGCTAATTAAACCTAGGAGTCTCGCCTATCAGTTCATTCTGGCCCTTCCTCTGACCAACACCGCGATACCCATCGTCCTTCCTACGCTCTACCTCTGGATAGTCGACACCCTAGCCCTGCGCAGAGGAACATGGGTAATCAACACAGGTACAAAATATGGTGTGCACTTGTGGGACGGTCTCGAGGTTGAGGAAGCCCTCTTCTTCCTCGTCACCAACTGCCTCATAGTGTTCGGTCAATTAGCATTTGACAATGCCCTTGCAGTGCTGTACACGTTCCCGGCCATGTTTGCGAAGCCCTCCTTGCTTCCATCACCCAAAAAGCTGATGGGCGCTCTGCTCACTCCATGCTCCAAGTACGATGATGCCCGCCTTATAGGCCTTAGCGAGGCTGTGCAACGTCTCAAGCGTAAGAGCCGTAGTTTCTACCTGGCCTCCGCAACCTTTCCCGGACCTTTACGGGCGGACCTCCTGCTGCTTTACTCCTTCTGCCGCGTTGCTGACGATCTGGTGGACAATGCTTCCTCCGCTGATGAAGCCAAGGCCTGGATAGCGAAACTGCGCAAGTTCCTAAACAATACGTATAGCGATTCTGCATCCAAGTCTACAGTACATGACCAAGTTCGCAAGGACTTTCCTGCTGCCACACAATCTGCGCTCCTCCAGCTTCCAGCCGCTAAACTCTCGCATGAACCACTGGAGGATCTTCTACGCGGCTTCGAGATGGATCTTGCTTTCGATAAGGGACCCCTGATCAAGACCACGGAGGATTTGCGCTTGTATTCAGAGCGAGTAGCGGGCACTGTAGCTCAGATGTGTATTGAACTCATCTTCAACTGGTACCCGAGCGCCTTGCCTGCCGAAGAGCAGCGTGCCATAGTCACTGCTGGTAACAGCATGGGTGTCGCCTTGCAATACGTCAACATTGCGCGAGATATACAAGTAGACGCTAAGATAGGTCGTGTTTATCTTCCTTTGGAATGGCTGTCTGGAGTTGGATTGAGTTACGACGAGGTCTTGAAGAAACCGGACCACGCACAGATCGAGACGCTACGTAAGCGTCTTCTTAAGGACGCGTTTTCTTTGTATGAGAAAACCAAGGTTGCAATCGAGCAATTACCAGTTGAAGCGAGAGGGCCAATTCGGGTCGCGGTCGAGAGCTATATGGAGATTGGGAGGGTGTTGAAACAGGACAATTTTAAGGTCAAGGCCGGTCGCGCAACTGTGCCGAAGCCTAGGAGGATAATGGTTGCTTGGAGAACACTTAATCGTTAATAATACAATTCGAGATTTTGATATCCTGAAAGCTCGGACATACTTTCGGACATAATCGCGCCTATCCGCATTTGGCCGCACGTGCAGTAACGCGTTCCCCCGACTTAGCTCTAACCTGAACTGTCTCTTCACCATCAACCATATCTGCGGACAAACCGAACAAGTGTGACATGTACCAAAACCGGCTACTAGACCCAGCAGGCGCATCTCTCGCTGCTACTAGCAGGAAGAGGAAGGGTGGGCCGCGAATCGTAAACCGACCTGCAAAGGGCAATTACAAGAAACTACTATGGTTCAAGCAGCCCTGTGAGTGCTCACGCAGGCCTCGGTCTCGCATCTCCAACCAGGTCTGACGTATACAGTTCCCGATAACTACACAGATGAAACGACATTTCTTGATCATCTCCAGCGCAATCCAAGATTACAGCCCTATGAGTTCTGGTCGCTGATGGGTGATGCTACGGTTATTGTGCAGCATCTTGCAACAGTGGTCATCTTTTGCTGCTGTTTTGTGGCTATTATCCATGACAGAGTATCGCCTGTCGCAGTAGTGGGGTGGGCTACTTTGTGCACAGTTCTGGCCTGGTTCTTATGGGATCATTGGATGGGACAGGAATTTGAGACCGTCTCCAATGTGGCATCGACACCCGCTTCAGACTCAGACCAAGCTGCAACCAAACCATCGTCGGCGCTTTCAGGACGAAGTCAACAGCGCTTGGCGACTGCCAAATCAGCGTTGTTGATTTATGCGGCTTTACTTGGACTCAGTCCTATTCTCAAGTCACTTACGCGCTCTACGACAAGCGATTCGATATGGGCGCTGAGTACATGGCTCCTCATGATGAACGTTGCCTTTTTCGACTACAGTGCAGGCACAGGCGCACAGTATGAATGACACTAGTCTCTTGAATGTACGTACGGCTAAGTTGTATGTCAACAGATTACCAGCTTCAATATCCACGAATTCGGCCATGATGGCATCGGCTGTTCTTGCATCGCGCCTGCCATCCACCACACACGTTTTCTCGTTGACCCTCTTCTCCATCGAAATATACGGTCTATTCCCAATCTTCCGTCGGCAGCTCCGCGCTCGATCTCCGTGGGGTCATCTCGCCCTCACTGTCACTCTAGTAACCGGCGCGTGGGGTGGTCTTTTCGTCACCTTGACAGGTGGGGGTCGCAGTACATTCTTGGCAGGTGCGATCGTAGGGGTCATCCTCACTGTGTTGAGTATGGGGGTCTGCAGTTGGTGGCTCATCGGTCTCCAGAAGTACAAGAATGAGATTTATGGTCCTTGGGACCCGGCGAGGCCCATCATCCGGCGGCATTGGGACTGAGTTCCTTATCGACGGGTTCTGTTCCATAGGAGTGGCGATTCTCGCAGGCAAAGAAGGAACATTCTCCGCTCGGTGGCAAGAATCTTGCGCAGTCCTCGTTCTGCGGAGCTCGTAAACCTTGTGCGGCAACGCTTTCGTGTAAACCCGGCTTGGAGATTACTTCGAGTTGTAATCTGCCGTTTTGTCGCTGCCACTTGACGGCGTTGTCGCTGCCGGTTTTGGTGACACACTTGTTCATTCGAGTAAGCAAGTCGTGGGTTCCAACGTCATCTCCACCAACAAAATGAACTGGCGACCATGGCAGGTTTCGTTCCATTGCCTTGCCTCTGCTTGATCCAGTCACGACAACTCTGTCCAAGTCCTCGAGCTCCGATAGCATGCTTCGAAGAAAATTCCAAAGTTCACTCCGAATAACGGCAACTGAAAGTTGAATTGCCATGTCAGTATATGTCTCACATGAAGTTATGACTGAGAGTACTCACTAACTGGCCATGCCTCTAGGTTGATCCGCAGGCACCGTAGACCGGCTGCGTCAGCGCGCAATGAATTCAAGCCTCCATTCTTTGCTAGCGCAACGTACTGCAGCCACTCACGCGCAATGTGAGGGCGATCGGAGTTCAACTCTCGCAAGTCAATCTCGATGTCTTGGATGCGCGTTCTGTATTCCACAGGAAGCGCATGTAGGAAAGCCCGCATCCCGGTCAGATTTGAGAAGCGGAAGGTGTTCTGCGCGAAGAGTGGACGGCGGTCGATCTCGTGGTAGGTTCTACGGCATGTCTGAAGCAGAGCAGCGCCTGGTGTCGTACGAACGGCATTGTCATCTCGCGTTTTGGAACCATCGATTCGGGGGTCGATTACGGGGCGGTCGGCAACGAAACACAATCCAAATATGATGTGTTTGATCTCTGCTGGCAATTGGAGGAGTGCAGATTGCGGCTGGAGATTACTAGGAGGTGGAATAACGATAGCCATGATTCAAGTAGAATGCGAATAACGATTGTAACAATTGAATATGGTATCACCTCAGCTTTAAGTGCCAACTAGAACAGCGCGGCTCGTGCTGATGGTCACGGCCTATAAGCTGCTGTCATGGTTTGTTTATCTATGCATCGTGGCGCTCTGCCGATACACCACTTCAGCTCGAGCTGAAATCTTTTCACCAGACGGATAGGCTAAGCATTAAGGTACCAAGCATGCCCTGGTAATGTCCGTAGAATGCTCGATATTTCCACGTCAGGTAGCTGAAGCGGTGAGTTGAGACCCACAGTTCCTGTCTTCGCCGATGGCGACGTTAATATCGGCGCGTTACGGAGCTGGAGCGGCTCAACATAAGTTTCTGATAGAGGTTCTTCGGCGTTTCTAGCGCTCGCTTGACGCTGTGACGCAAGATAAGAATCATGACTGTGATTCAGTGCGGACGGATGTGCTGGAGTCGGGAAAGCCTCCCTCTCCACTTTCGACGTACGTATCAAGACCAACGACACCTTTTGCATCGTGATGCTACAACAAGAACTCACGGAGCTGCTCCACGATGTGCGCAGGCGCCTACCCGATCTCCGGCGCCAGAGAGAGGGCGAATTGAGCAACGGTTTTGGCCCCCAATGCAAACATGAGCGAGGCTGAAAGGAGCGGCAATGGTGTGGCAGCTTCCAGCCATCGCAATTTTCGTGGCGCCGTGCACTGGACCGAAGTGTTCAGCGCGTAAACCTCGACCACGAGAATTGACATAAGTCTCATCAATTGAGCAGTGAAAGATCAAGGCCATGTCTTTGCGGCCAGACGACAAGTCAAGGCGCTCGCGGTCCAAATCGCCTGGGCGCGGTCGAGAGGGTGCGCGCTCACGCAGCCGTGACGGGCGCGAGCCTCAGCGACATCGAGGTGCAGCTGACAACGGCGCTGCAACCCCGCAGTATGAGATTAGGCAGCCGGGTCAGCAATATGCGACGTGAGTACTGCGCGAAATGCGTCTGCCAGATGTCTGCGACAGACATTGCGGGACTTGAACTGAGAAATGGCGACCAGACCAGCCAGCGAACCCATTACCATGGGGAACTACACCGATCTCCCTCCCCACGAGAGACCAGGGTATACCCAGTCCGCCTCGTTCGCCCATCCTGCCACCACGGCAGCCAACTCGGCGGGCGTCGCGTATGCGCAGCCGGGCAACGTCCAGTATGCGCCGACCGCCCAAGGCTTTGCCTATACCGCGACGTCGGCATCCCACAACGCGCCCACGCGCACCCCGACGGCGACAGCGAAGACCAACGGCGCTTTCCAGTATGCGAGTCCGCCCACGAATATCCAGTATACCGCGAAGCCCGTGGGCAGCAACAACCAGCCGCCAGTCGTGCGGCACAACTCCCAGCCCATAAGCCCCTCCTACCCCCCGACGCCCCAACTTCAGTACACAGCCGTGCCGCAGGCTCCTTCCTCACAATCGCAGTATGCGTCGCAAGCTCCCCCATCGCAGCCTCAGTATGCATCGCATGCGCCGCCACCGCAGTCCCCGTACGCATCACAGGCCCCTCCATCGCCATCTCAGTATGCGACCATGCCACAGGCTCCTCAGCCGCCCCCAGCCGACCAGTCCTTCTACCCACCTCCTCCCATGGGCAGCCACTCGCCGCGCCCTGATCATCACCGCGCTGCTTCCTACTCGGGGCCGATGAGCACACACGATGGCCGTAATGTAGTAGAGATGCGTCCACAAGGTCACCTTGGCGCAGGCGACAGGCCGGATGGGCTGCGCATGGATAGGCTGTCCGTCAGCGGGAACAGACCCGATATACAAACCATTATTCCAGGAGGCATGCCTGGGGGATTCCCCTCCGGACTACCACCGCCGAGTCCACTGCTCGAAGCGTACCATGGAACGTATCAGTCCATCAGTCCTATGCCTCAGGCGCTGATGCTAGATGACGATCTTGACCATCTGCCTCCTCTCGATACCCTCTCCCCTCGTGAGTCTGGTCATGGCCGCCGCCGCCGTGCTCATTCTACCTCCTCGCGACGAACGCCCAGCCCTTCGAGGTCCTCACGGCATACCGACAAGCTGGCAATGGCCGCATATGGCCGCGACGAGCGCCTCCCAGAAAAGGAGAAACGAAAAGCGAGAATATACGATGCCACTGATGACGCTCTAGCCCTAGTCGACGCACTGGCGGCGCGGACGCCAGATGTGGAGACTATATGCGAGATCCTCCCAATCCTCACGCACGACCAGATGCTCGAGTTGCGAGCCGAGTACAAGCGACACTGCAAAGTACAAGGCAGGGGTATCAACATCGCCAAGCACATCAAGTTGAAGACCAACGGCAATTTTGGCAAAATTGCCTACGTGACGGCCCTAGGCAAATACGAAGGCGAGGGCTACTGGGCAAACTACTGGTACCAGTCCAACTCGGCGAAGAGAGAACTCCTCATCGAATCGCTAATGGGTCGACAAAACCACGAGATCCGCGAGATCAAAGATTCATTCAAAGACAAGCGCTACAGCGATTCCCTCATCCGCTGCATGGACAAGGAGCTCAAAGCCGACAAGTTCCGTAAAGCTGTGTTGATGGCACTGGAAGCCAATCGGCAGGAAGAAAGCGATGTGTGGCCGGTGGAATATCGCAATCGCGATGTCGATACCCTATACAAAGCCATCCGAGCCAGGGAAGGCGGAGAAAGTGCTATGCTCAGTATTGTCATCATGCGAAGTGACGCACATCTGCGCGAGGTGCTGAGGACATATGAGAGAAAGTACCAAGGCAACTTCGCGAGAGACGCTCTCAAGAAGAGCAACAACTTGGTTGGTGAAGTCATTGCGCACATTCTCAATGGCGTCAGTAAGTGTTTCTCCCACACCTCAATTCTTGCATGTGTACTAATCACGCGTCCCAGTCAACCGTCCTGCAAGAGATGCCATGCTCCTCCACCACGCTCTCGTCGACCTCATGGAGCCCGCAAACGACGGCCGCTCTTCCAACAGTCGCCTGTCCTCGCGGGAAGCAACATCCAGCAAGCATGAACGCCAACAACGAGTCGAACTGCTCATCTCGCGTCTTGTGAGATTACATTGGGACCGGCAGCATCTTCTTAGAGTCAAGGCGGAGTACGAGGAGAAGTATGGTCGTGTCGTGGAGGAGGACGTGGAAGAGGCTACTAGAGGAGACTTCCGAGAATTTGCCCTTGTCATTTGCCAGACTGCGAGATAGGGGGTTTGATACATGGTCGGTTGGGAGCGAGTGATACCCGGGTTTATGTGGGCAGAGGGCATGGGTCATGTAGGCAGGATGAATAGGTCTGCAATTGAGCTCTCGAGAGTACCGAATTGGAAAATTATACTGAAGTCTGTCGTTGTATCGAGCAATCCCTATCATGCCAACATGAGGTGGCTAGTTGACCTTCCACCTACGTTCCGCACTGCTACATGCGACACATCAGCCTATGCTAAGATCGATGCCTATACATCCCATACGTCGGAACCCTCTCCCCACCCAACAGCCAACTATCCGCCTCAGGCAGCACCATCCCCCTCCCACTATCCATCTGTTGCTGCTGACCTCCCCCTCCTCCGATAAACCCATTCATCCCCCCATCACCACCACCACCGGACCCGCCTCCGCCAGCCCCCTTACCACCAAGACTACCACCAAGCCCATTTCCCGTCGACGCCGAAGCAGAAGCCGCAGAAGTAGCGGGCAAGGCGTACAGAGACGACGGATTCGCATCCGCCCAACGGAGAATATTCCGACTTAGTGTTATTGGGCTTTCGTCGCCAACGGTGCTCATGTCTTGCGTGAGGTCGGTGTCTGGGTCGTCGAAGGGGAGCGTGGGGAGGGGGTCGGAGAGGTAGGAGGAGGGGTTGAAGGGTTTTAGGGCAGAGTTCGTGTTGTTGTTCGAGATTGGACAGTGTGATGGCGCGTTTGTGTTTGGTCCGCTGTTGTTGAAGGGGTGAACGTCTTTTGTTAAGATGGCAATGTCGTTCTGTGAGTGACTTGATTTCGCTTGGTGCGAATGGTTCTGGAGTGGAATGGGGTCTGGCTGTTGCGAAGAATCGTCCTGTTTCTCTTGTTCTTGTGCTTGTTTTGATAGTGTACGTTCCTTCTCTTTTGCTTTGAGCTTGTATCCTGCTTTGGCGTACTTGTCTGGATACCGGATTCTGAATCGATCGCGTAGGTCTGTTGGATGCCGAGTTGCAAACCCTAGATCCTCGTCGTCGCGCATCGAGTGCCATACAGACCCATATTTTTCAAAGCCCTTCAGCAGATTAACGTCGTCGCGTGCGCTAAAGGCCCGGCGTGGTCGACGGGTGGTTTTTGAAAATGGTTCCCGGATACCGAGCTCGGCTAGATCCAGCTGCGTAGTAGCCTTATTACGAGTAGCGCCACGTTGCTGGTTCTCTGTCGGGCTGGGAGAATTCGAAATGAGGTTGATGTCGGAGTGGCGTTCGCTAATGGGAAGAGAATGCTGATGAGTGTAGATGGCTTGATCTGGCAAATCCGGTGGTGTCTCATCCAAACTGTTTTTCTCTTTTCCCTTGGTCTTTGGCTGCCGTGGCTTCAGACCTTCACCAGGGCAGCATACACGAAAGCGGTCTTTTAGATCAACGGCGGTGCGATTGTTGAATGCAAAGTCTTGGTCCTGTAGTATCTTCTTCCAGTTGCCTATACCGTACCTGCTGACGCCTATAAGCAGATCTTTGGTCTCTTGTTCAGACCACTTATTTCGCTTCTTCCCACGCTTGGGCTGTAACAGCGCTTCAGAGTCCTTGGAGGCGTTTGTTGCTACATCTGTCTCATGGGCCACATCTATTACACTAGAAGATACAGGCGGAACTGACGCTTGGGAAAATGATTGGGTTTCGGCATGTTGACCAGCTCTGTTGTAGTCCATGGCATTTCCTTCGAGAAAGGCATGCTCGTCCACATCCTTGGTCCTGGACTCTTCAAAACGTGCGTCATACCCTCTGTCGCCCGCGAAACCAT